GGTGTAGCACTTAGGCGCTTTGCTGTCGCAAGCTGGATACCCAGTTCGATTCCTGAGTGGGGATACATTTTTATCGACTACCTCAGTCTTTCTGGTGGGTTGTTGCATCTCTCTCAATCTGGGTTGACAGAAACAATAGAGGAAAACAGAAGAAGTAGGACCTACCGGTGGCTGCTTCCAACCGCGACCAGGGGCGAAGGCTGACTTGTTTGACAGGGTAATCAAAGTGAAATGGGACCAGATAGGGCCTGGAGATATCATACTCACACAAGTCACAAGAATCTTACTGGCACTGGAGGCGGCAACTCTTGAGTTGTGAATGAAAACAAATCCTGAATTCATGTTGTATGCTTGTTCAACCGCTAAAACAATCGGGAAAGTATTTCATTAAATATTTATTCTAACTAACCTTAAATTTAACTTTAGATTTGAACACACGAACACCAAGGAAAGAAGCACAGATGTCAGCACTACAATGGCATGTTATACCAGATAGCCGAAACACTTTGGTAGAGCACGCCAATTATTATTTATTTTTTTTCACATTTGGCTGTTTTTTGTCTAGCTTTTCGCGGCCAGGAGCCGCTGTCATAATCGAGGTCACGATCTGATTATAGGACGTTAAAAAGTCGAGGAAAAAAACAAGCACTAGCAGTGTAGTCGGAGCACCGGGGAGTTAGTTCCCCTCATATCTGTGAGGTAGACTCAACCAGTGTAATAGTTCGCTTAGATAATCAGCGCGTCTGGGTGCTTATAACTGTGGCCCTAAAGGGGTGAACAGGGTATATGCGACAATGAAACAGTTCTGACTGCTATGCACATGTTCCCTTCAAATCTATTGGTTGACTCTTCAAGTCTCACTTTAAGCTTACTTAATCAAAGCTTCTGACTGCTTATGGAGTGGCCCGATACGGGCGAACAGGCTATTTCTGTGGCAAAGAAACGGTTTTGAAGGTTAGGCATAGTCTATTGTTCATTGGTGATTATGAACGTCTTTTTACATTTAATTTATGAGGTTTACGTCTATGGGTGAATTTGACTGCGACAATGTTTCAAAATTAGGAAGGGAAGCAGTGATTATTTGATTATATAGACGCTTCGCCTCTGACCGCGACACAAACAAAAACAAAACAGGAAAAGAAGAAGAAGGGCGTACCAGTGCCAGTGGCACCCTCCAGCCACCCATATTGACAGAAACAACGGAGGAAAAGGAAAAAAGATGGGCCTACCAGTGGCGCCCTCCAACCACCCACGCAAACACAGCAACAACAAAGGAAATGGGGGAAAACTAGGACCTACCAGTGGCACCCTCCAATCACCCACGAAGAGCGTCCTAATTGTGTTGACAATGCGCTACCTCAGAATCATAAAATTCTATCTGACATTTTGGGCGGTTTTGAGTTACTAAGGCCATGAGATCCGAAATCAAATGTTCTATCTGCTCTATCAAAATAATAAGATTATTTTGAATCGTTATCAAGATATTCAAAGAATTTCATTCGAAAAAAAGCTAGACATAAATGGAAACTAAAAGTTTTGGATGTCAAATTTCTCAAAACTGGGTAGGCCTACAGAGCAGATAGAACTTTGTAATTCTGAAGAAGCGACAGAGAGAAGTTCCCCATCACCCCACACACTCTCCCCGCCTGCAGATCCTGGAATTGGTGCTTCAGCCTCAAAGGGCACTTCTGACTGTTCTGGTGGGGAACCAGAGGCGTGAGTCTAGGGGACATTCGTGACTTCCGCGGACTTGTCTGTCGCTGTCTGTTGTTGTCGGGGGAACTCGAGAGACCGACAGACAAACGTAAGAGGAGTGAGGGGAACACATAGATAGATAGATAGATAGATAGATAGATAGATAGATAGATAGATAGATAGATAGTGTGTTGGTTTGGGAAGATTGTTGGTGGTTGTACGAATGGAGTTAATAATTGTTTTCCGCATGCTAGGAAGATAATAATATCAATTTAGTCATTTCCAGTGGAGAAACGTTTCGTCGTCTTGCTGAAGTAAAGACAATGTCCTCGTCCTCCCGCCTATGGCTGGGTATGGCCGAGCTTAAGACAATGCTCAATAGTTTTGGCCTGAAAGTTCCAAATAGCATGGCTACTCTCAAAGGAAATCTTAACATAGAGAAAGAAGAAACACAAAAGCACGGATTGAGGAAGAAAAAGAGAAAGTGAATAAACAAGCAAGGGGAGATATTAAAACAGGAAAAGGAGAACGAAAAAAAACCCAAAGAAAAAATGAAAAGCCTCAATGGAAAGAATATGAAAAAAAGATTCCTGGGGGGAAAAAAACTTGAACTAAGTACAGCCAAATTTTCTTCTTCAGAATTACAAAACTTCTCTGCTCAGAAGGCCTACGTAATTTTCAGAAAATTGACTTAAACACTTTTAATTTCCGCAACATGCCAAGCTTTTTCGAACGCAATTTTTTGAATATCTTGATAGCGACATCGTCGTACCCTCCGATTTTGATAGAGCAGGTGGAACATAATCTGGTTTCTGGCCTCAGAATGTAAGCTTATGCGACTCAAAACGGGCAAAATTGTCAGATAGAACTTAGTAATTCTAAGGTAATGAAATACCAAGACCAATAGATTTGGATGAAAAAATAAATTACAAAGACTCATGAACACAGGCGTTAGCAAAAATAAAATGGTTTAAGACGATGATACCGATGAATTTGAAGCTTTTGAGAAGAGGGGTGAGCGAGAGATGAAATTGCGAGGGAGAATACATTTTTTAGATGATCGGTGGATCTGAGTGTATGGGAAAAGGGAATGAGATCAGGGAAATAAACTAAGACGATCAGTGTTTGATCCTGTGACAGATGTCAGGAAAGCTGAAATGTATCTGGAATGAATGAAGAAATGCAGATTCATCAAAGGACATAAATCCGGATCTGACGTCACTAGCATCAAGTCTTTGGCCGACTGTAGATCAGACTAGTGAGTCATCTCATCGCTTCTTGTTGTTGGTTTCCATTTCGAGAAGTGCACACCATGCAAGATAAACTATTATAGGTTTTGTGTGTGTTTGCATTTGTGTGTAGGTCTATGTGTGTATATATGTGTATGTGTATGAGTGTGTGTGTGTGTGTGTGTGTGTGTGTGTGTGTGTGTGTGTGTGTGTGTGTGTGTGTGTGCGCGTGTGTGTGTGTGTGTGTGAGAGTGTGTGTGTTATGTGTACATGCATTATGTGTGTACGTGTGTATATGTGTATGTGTATGTGTGTGTGT